TCAGAGAGATAACAGGTAATTATTGGGATTTCAGAGAGATAACAGGTAATTATTGGGATTTCAGAGAGATAACAGGTAATTATTGGGATTTCAGAGAGATAACAGGTAATTATTGGGATTTCAGAGAGATAACAGGTAATTATTGGGATTTCAGAGAGATAACAGGTAATTATTGGGATTTCAGAGAGATAACAGGTAATTATTGGGATTTCAGAGAGATAACAGGTAAGTATACCCTTATACAGACACTATTGGGATTTCAGAGAGATAACAGGTAATTATTGGGATTTCAGAGAGATAACAGGTAATTATTGGGATTTCAGAGAGATAACAGGTAATTATTGGGATTTCAGAGAGATAACAGGTAATTATTGGGATTTCAGAGAGATAACAGGTAATTATTGGGATTTCAGAGAGATAACAGGTAATTATTGGGATTTCAGAGAGATAACAGGTAATTATTGGGATTTCAGAGAGATAACAGGTAATTATTGGGATTTCAGAGAGATAACAGGTAATTATTGGGATTTCAGAGAGATAACAGGTAATTATTGGGATTTCAGAGAGATAACAGGTAATTATTGGGATTTCAGAGAGATAACAGGTAATTATTGGGATTTCAGAGAGATAACAGGTAATTATTGGGATTTCAGAGAGATAACAGGTAATTATACCCTTATACAGACACTATTGGGATTTCAGAGAGATAACAGGTAATTATTGGGATTTCAGAGAGATAACAGGTAATTATTGGGATTTCAGAGAGATAACAGGTAATTATACCCTTATACAGACACTAAACAGAATAGTTGGCAGAATAGTTGGCATCGCTTGGATAGAGCATAGACACGATTGTACAGAGTAATAATAGTTTTACTACTGAGAATCTGCAGAAAGCTAACACCATCCAATCAAATATCATTTCCACGTGCACAGTGACTATCTACAAAGTATTCTGCAGACTGACTACTGGTAACATGCTCCACAAGAAGGGAACTGTTCCCGTATCTAGCATAAAAGGGAGGATTCCAGCTTTTAAACAATGATTAACTGTACTAATTAATCACGCCCCTGTGATCCTTAAGGTTAATTTGATAATTGGTAACTGCTGCTATCGCATTAGTTAACCCTGTGTTAAATGTGAAATCAGACACGCAACGTAACTCGCCCCTCTAGTATTTGCATGTTTTCACAACAAACCGTGAGCGTTAGTATCCATGTCCGTGTAATTTACTAGGTTACTAGGTTACTAGGTTACAAGGTTACTAGGTTACTAGGTTACTATGCATGTTTTCACAACAAACCGTGAGCGTTAGTATCCATGTCCGTGTAATTTACTAGGTTACTAGGTTACTAGGTTACAAGGTTACTAGGTTACTAGGTTACTATGCATGTTTTCACAACAAACCGTGAGCGTTAGTATCCATGTCCGTGTAATTTACTAGGTTACTAGGTTACTAGGTTACAAGGTTACTAGGTTACTAGGTTACTATGCATGTTTTCACAACAAACCGTGAGCGTTAGTATCCATCAGGAGGTGACCGGGGTTCCTCCTGGTATCCATGTCCGTGTAATTTATGAATGAATGAAACCGTAAAACGGATTTCAACCACACTCGGATTAGTTTTAAGTCACTTAGCCTGTGTAGTCACAGACTACAGATGGGCAGTGGGCACTGTTAGATGGTAGTAACACAGCGGTAACGCTGCAAGATAGATTACACCTGCTTCTTCTGACATCACTCAATGAGACTCAATGACACATGATTTTTTAGAATAATTACTGGACAGGAAGGAGCACAGGAGCGAGGTCTGGTTACATTACTTTATCAGTCAGCAGTTATTGCAATTCTTCATGAACTGACACCTTGTAAATTTTAAAGATTGAACAAGCACTATAAAGGTTGCAACAAAGAGACACATATGAACGGAGAGGGTGGTGGAAGGTGCTACTCCACTGCAAGTTCTACATGGAACTCTAATCCAGTCTAGTTTGGTAAACGGCGCAACAATCAGCATCAATTATCGGGCGTCTCATTTATACCCTACAAACTGTACTGATACTATATCTTTAAAGTTTATAAGCTGATGATACGATCTATATCTGCGATATCTTTGTAAAGTTCAATAATTATCTTGGATCATCCCACAGTTACATAACACGGTTACTTGATTACAGCCATTAAATATCATTGCTCTACACTCTGCAGGTCGGATCCTTGAAGTTTGCATGTACTTATATTGTAATTAACATGTTCGTATTATTATAAGGCAGGACACGATGAGAACAAAACAAAAGAACCCAGCTTGTTGATTCATTATTTAAATGAGATAAGTGTCTCAAGCGTTCAAAAACCTACAAACAGCTAAACAGTCGATACGATAACACTGTCTTTTACTAAACAATTGTCTTGAACCATTTCACATTTACAAGAGGCTCTTATTTGTTTACAGCTACACAAAAAGAGAGAGAGAGAGAGAGCCTAGTAATTAACATAGAATTTCTCATCATAGCACTTTCGTGAATAATAAACATTGTAAAACTGTTTAATAGATGCGATCACTGTGCAACGAGTTAGTATTTCCGCAAAATGGAACTGAAAAAGTACATAATGTCCTTTTTGTTTCATTGCCGCTGTCACGGCGTTACCATTGCGTCTATACAGCGTATTCAATTTGCATAATTGCCTTTCAAACACAATATACCCGTTCAGTCCCTTTTTACGTAGGCCATGATACATATGTAGGTGTCCGTATTCAAATAGTCCCTTTATATGATACTTTTCAATGTTATTCAGTTTTACACTGGATAATATTGTTGTGTCTTGTAAAGGAGCCAATAGTAATACAGCAAAACAAAACAGAATATACAAAACAAAGTGCAACGGTTCATTATTTTATTATTATCGTTGAATGATCCCCATGAAATATTGAAGAGTGTACCAGCATTCATCAGTTAGAAGCTTGTTTTGACAATCATTGTCTACTCGTTTAGTCAAGTGAAGAAAAAAATGGTTTGCTAATGTCAATGGAATAAAAACATGATGATAATAACATGATAGAGAAGATCAATCCTAAACATGCACGGAAAACCATATGTGTAATGAGAGGCAGAACCTTACATTTTACAATGACTTATTCTCTCACAATTTTACAACTGCGGTTTTGTTATAATATGGTCTATTATCAAATTATTATGGGTCAACTAGCATATTACATAGTGATAAACTGTTTTATTGTCCCTTCCATTTACTAAAGGCCACAAAGACCTCAAAGGACAAGGTGATTGATAATTATTGATAATTAATCGGTAAACTAGCCTATTGTAATATTATTTTTACCAGCTAGCAGACCTAGAGTCGCCAAGTGATCTGACCACTATATACGACATCAAGTAGTTAACATGCATATTATTATTATAATCATATTACCATAATATACTGTAAAAACGTTTTACCATACCTTCCGTTTATGATATTAAATTGTTCTGATAGTTATCATAGGCTGAGTACTTGACGTTGACAAATTATATTAAAGTCAGCATGGTTAAGTTGAACATGTATAATTGCAATTTTGGCTTTAAACAGTAATTACGATAAACCCGTGCACTGTTCAGTCCCATTTTATGTAGGCAATACATTTGTAGGGGTCCCTGTCCCTAGTCGTAAAGTCCCTTTATATAATACTTCATACAATACTTCAGTTTTACACTGAATAAGCTGATGACTAGTAGTCCTGATTGGGATTCAGAAACTATTATCCTGTAAGAAACGAGAAGAGAAGGGACGATGAACCTAAACCTTAGTGCTCTTTGTACCGGATAGTCGATACCTTATAGTTATACGCAGTAGCCAGTAATAAGTAATTACCATCAGTAATGAAACATTATAGCATAGGTTAGTAGTACACAAGCCCTTATTGGCTCCATCCCATGTACAGTGAGGCTGATGTTTACAAAATCGATTACTGTTTTGTAAATCGGTTGCTCAGCCGATGGTTAACATTTTAGATGTATCTAAAATACGGAGAAATCCTCTGTACTTACCTCAAGTACTCAGTACCTATTCTTAGAAATGTAGCTAAAGCATGACAAGGTTTAATGAATAATTTTCTGAGACCTGTGGCATGCCATCTTGCCCCGTGCTTGATGATTTCACCACATTCATGTACACATGGTAAGAAGAACACAAACTTGAATAGCTTCCACATAAAGGTTACCCTGCTATGCCGCGTGCCTACAGTCTAGTCTCTATTGCAGTATGCAAATGTCTGGTTGTGTAAGTTTAAACACGTTCACTCCCTCGTAATCAGGGTGTTGACTGTTAAGTACATGATAATGATATGGGTATATGAGGTATACAATATTGGGGCCCTGGCAATCTGGTACAATAGGAGTACACAGTACAAGCTCCAGGGCTATTAGGTGGTGTACACGTGAAGAGGACGTATTAATAAGGCTCTGAAAGGGAGAGCAGGCTCACATCCTCACCCTTACACTCACTATACTTGTACTTACTACTGTAGTGTCACTCTGAAGCCGTACTGGAGCACGTGTTACTATTCCCTGGGGACTTGAAACGACAGAATGAAGTTCAACACACTGTAGTACAGGCTGTTTGTGTGTAAATGTAGTGTTTGAGGTTTTGCAAACCGGAAATACGGCGTTGTTTGTAAATGGAAAACCATGAAAACTACCATGTAAACAAAGAAATTATTAAATTTAAGAAGTAAACAAAAACTTGATTTACAAATCCACGTTTACATGATAAAACATATATTACATATTTATATATTATATGTTGTCAAGTGAACGACATATTATGTATTTAAACTTGCTTGTACGGTTGTCATATTACACTAAAGACCACATTTTTGCAGGCTCAATTGCAGCAGCTTTAAAATAAACCAGCAGTTTAGCATTAAACGTTCTTCAGAACGAAGAATGCATCCCACAGACATGAAATTTGAGATGGTAGTTTGAAGTGAAGATTTTAACTTTACCTCTTAGCTGTCTGATCTTGTTCTTTTCATAGACTTTCTCCAGATTCTGAAGAGAACTCTCGGACAAGGAATGATTGTCAACTGAGTAACCATAGTGCATCACTCCTCTGCTCAATGATAGAACATGAGATATACCTTAGAATCGTTAGAAGCTTAGTTACATAATTAGTTACATAATTAGTTGCATCATGGCGACAATATTGTTCAATGTATTGCTAAACACTTTTAATCAATAAGTTTTTCACATTCCTTCAAACATAAATTGTAAAAATCGCTCATAAAATCGCTTGAAAAATCGCTTGTAATGAGGGGAAAGTAGTTTTCAGAAAGACTTTGAAAACAGTTCCTTTTGTCTTTTTGGGAAAAGGAAATTTTTTCCAAAAATTTGGAGAATTTTAAAAAATCACCAAACTTTTTATTGTAGCATTATAATCAGCATTATAATCATGATAATAGTAATATAATATGCTAGACAGATCATTGATCATCGAACTATTTAACCAATTAAATAAATTTGAATTTTGAGCGAACGTAGAATTGCGCAGTTAGCCTAATTATATCTTTTTGGGTAAGAGTCAAGAACAATTGTGACCCATGATGGATGTTACTGGAGTCCCCAATCATATAGTGTGGCTTGTATACCTTCATTATAGGATGTGGCCCTCTGCTCTGTTTTTATATTGAATATTATGTTTAACACTTAAATATTATTTTTGTTTGGATAATGAAACTACAAACTTAATTGGTTTAGTTTGATATCTATATGGATGGAGTTTGGTACTAAATTTAGAGGAATTGCATCATGGAATTCAAGATTACAGCTAGACGTATCATCAATCATCAGTATTTAGAGGATAAGAAAGAGTTTGAATTATTTAACTTTAACGAATTTACTACTAAATTTGTTAGACGGAACGTCAACTTGTGCCGTCACAGCAATAGTACAGGGTCCAAAGTAACCTACTGGCGCCAGGATGATTGTGACTAAAGATTGATGTTACTGGTACCCCTTAATATACAGGGTGACTTCAGTATACCTTAAACTATTAACTTATGAATTGAATTATAACATTTTGCAACACAAAAGAATATTCTCATGGTTCTATATCACAATAAGACACATGCAAACTAGTGGCGTAATGGAGGGCCCCGCCGATCTCGCTGTGCGTTTGAATGTGGGACAATTTGAAAAACTTAACTAACTTTGTTTTACTAAAAAAAATTGTTTTACTTAACTGGTGACTGGTGTACTAGCAAAACTGTGCATTTTGCTTTAGAAACACACTTTTTTAGAGATTTTACTGGCGATATTCTAAAATCACATAATTTGTTGTCAACAGGGGCACTTTTTCAGCAAGGAGGGGGGGCGACAGGCAATGTTACGCCACTGATGTGAAAGTCTCTTTATTTGGTTATCTTGATACTAGCATTTATCGTTTTCCCCTAGAGGCCTGGTAAAGAGGTTTTACTTTATCATGAAAATGTCTAATAAGCTTACTACTTAGTCAATACTTCATGCCGCTTCAATCGCTGAGACAGAGTGAATGAAAACATCTCAGGGAGGCCGAAAAAAAAGGTCTTCATGGGATCAGTGAAAACTCTGTTACGGCCATGTAGGAGTGAAGGCCTACCAGTGAAGAGGTTGAGACACGAGCATGGGATTGTAATAAACAAGTCAGTGAAGGTAAATTAGTACCAGAAGAGTCATTATGTTTGAAGAATGCTTAGAGACGATGGTACAGATCGAGGAGAAAGTTTAGGGATGTGGTGAAGCAAATGTATAGATTCTTGTCGCAGGCTACATGAGGACCATAATAGTCAGCTCAGGATGACAAGAGCATCAAAAAAGGAGGGATTACATTCTAGTATAGAAGCGAAAAGTGATTAGGAAAGACGGCCCCTAAAGACCAGTAATAGTCTAATGTGTAAACAATTAGAAAGGAAGTTACCATTGAGAATTTATATGTTTCAAGGAACTTTAAGACGGCTCATAGCCAGAAATATAGTAAATACGAGTTCCCAAGTAATTTAGTAAAATCAATTTACATTTTTGTTTTTTTCTAAAACTTAATTTGATATTGAATTATAGCAAACGAAAAACAACATGAAACTGCTACCTCCCTTAAAGCCTTCGAAGCAGATGTCACTGCAATCAAGAACAAAGTAGATGACTCTAAGGCCTGCCTACAGTCTCTCCAGCTTAATGACCGCACCACCCCATCCAGAAAAAAGCCATCACCTCATCCTCAAAACCAGAACCACCCAACCCACAGCCCTAGTAGACAAACGCGAAAACCAAAAAAGGTTCTACTCCTACATGACTCCCAGATGAACAACTTTCTACCTGAGTCATTTTCCTCTGGGTTCAAGGTGGAAAAAATGAAAGTAGGCTCTTATACTTGTTAAATCAGAGAAGCAATGACACACGTTGATAAGTCAGGAAAGAAGTCAATAGATATACAAAGACCCCACGGCTAACAGAGACATCATATATATAACATACTCCTGAAATATAGGGAGTTAACTCACATTCAAATATAGATACAAACATATAAAATATAATAGGAGAATATCAAGTTCACAATCTCCCTAAACTTTCTCTCAAATATTAAAAATGTTTAAATATTAAAAATCCCTAAAAACAACATACCCAAGTATCAAACTGGGCTACCTTTAAAACACAGATTCTGCCGTGGGTCAATTCAATCAAAACAATAGAATTATATCAAATAATTCATTCTCATTCATTCACACTTTTTATTTTAAAAGTTCAGTTCTAACTTTCATTATACATTACAGTTTAATAGTTCAATTCTAACGTTCATTACACATTACATCAATTACTGAGCTTACAATACAGAGTACTGTCTCAGTTCACTAGGAAGTGTCCCTTTTTCTAACACCTCACGCAACAAAGACGAAGATGCACCAGCCTTTGTCAAACAGTCTGCAAGCTGGAGATTTGTTGGAACCCACACATAACGTACTTCATTTCTGTTGAATCGTTGTCTTAGACAAGCCATGGGAATCCTCAACCCTTTGTCTTCAAGGGTGTTTGTTGTTTTCACAGCATCAAAGAGAGACTTGCAATCCGTTATACAGACTATAGGAACATCTATTTTCACAATTTCATTCCACTGCGCTTTAATCAGCTCTGCAGACTCCAGGCCGTCAACTAATGCCCAACTTTCAGCAGCTAATGTGCTCTTACATACTTTCTTTATCTTTCTACTCTGCCATGTAAGTGGACAGCACTGACCAGATCGGTCAACCATCAATACAAGATGCCCACCTTGTGAGGATCCATCAGCCAGGTTACCAAAGGAAGCATCACTGAATACAACCATTGTTGTGTGTTGAAGGTCAAGTGAAGGAAACCTGATTGACAGTGGGTTTTTCTGCATAAACACAATTGTCTTGTTCACCAGTTTCAGATCTTTGATCGTTCCCGAAGCATAGGAGTTGGATGCAATGCATGTGCCATACGCAATATCTGGTCGTGACTGTGTTGCTGCCCAGAGCAGCTGTCCTGCTACTGATCGCAACTGACTTCTTTCTGCCTCATTGATTGGACATGCATTCAGTTTTACTTTGTTCTGGTCGATTTTGATTCTGCTCACTTGATTTACATAACCCAGCTGTGATATTTTGATTGCCCTGTAACTTTGACTGAGATCGAGCCCAGTGTACGTAAAGGATGTATCGACTTCCATACTGAGCTTGTATTTCATTTTTAAGGCACCAATGACCTCTTTGATGAATATTTCCAGTCCTCCAAACATAAGATCATCAACATGGATCACTATGATCCCACACGGCTTATCATTTCTCTGTAAAAAGAAAAATGATTCATCGTACACTGACACTGTTACACCAAGCTCTACTAGGGTATCTCTTAGTTCGACATACCACATTCTTGGACCATCGACCAAGCCATAGATGCATTTGAGGAGTTTCCACAATTTTCCAGATACCTTAGCTTCATTTGGTGGTTTAATGTATACTGTTCTTGAGATATCTTTTCCCTGTAGAAAAGCAGCCTGTACATCAATGTGCTGCAGTTTCCAATGCTCTGCTTGCAAAAGAGTAATTGCCAATCTGATTGAGTCCCTACTGCATGTTGGGGAATCTGATCGTATTGCTTGATTTTTCTCCTGATAGCCTAGAGCAACTAACCGTGCCTTGTACACATTCGTGGTATTCTTTATCTTCTTTGTGATTACCCACCTCACACCAATCGTTTTCTGACCTTTATCAGGAACTTCCTCATAGACTTTATTGGTACAAAACTTTTCAAGCTCTGCCTCCTTAGCATCAACAATTGCTTGTTCACATGAAGCTGTAACGCTTGTAAACATAACTTCATGTTCCTGCTCCTCTTCTGTATCTTCGTGCCATTCCTCTGTTAACTCAAACCAGTCGACACAATGAGTTTCTTCCTCCCCATCAAGCTGAATGTTCAGGCAGTTTTTGTATTTTCCTCCAGCCTTACCTGCTCTACTAAGGATGTAAGCCTTCTCCCAGACATCCTCTTCTCCCTCTTCAGGGTACTTGGGTTTGTACATCACAGAAGTTTTCGTCTTAGGCAGGTTTTTATTTCCATTACCATTAACACTGGCTGTGCTTACAGGAGCACTAGAAGGAGTATCTATTTCATCAGTTATTTGCGCCTGAGCCAATGGCAAACTGTTATTTTCATCTTGATTTCTTTCTTCTGTTCTTGTCATATTTTTCTCAAAGTCAGATAATTCATCATCGTTCGATTCTGAAGGAGCTTTGACACTGACGGGATCACTTTTGTCCTTCAAATTACCAGTTTCTTCTAATTCAGGGACATATGTTGGCTTAATGTGACAAGGATGTACCTTGATGATTTGAAATCCATGCTTTACAACAAACGTCTGACCATCCCGACCTATGACAACACCTGGTCCATGCCAGGAGTCACTGTTGTTTCTTTTATAGAAAATCTTTTCCCCTGGATCGAGATGAACATCATTACATGTTCTGACCTGGCTTTTCAAAGCTCTCATGATCTTGGAACTATTCTCTGCTCTTATAAACCCCTCTCTGGCAATCCTCATTGCTCTTAGATGATTCTCTACAGTTTCACTACAGACACTACTACTCG